CAAACACTTTCAGAAATTACGTGAAAAAGTCAGTTATATACAGAAAACCAGACAAATCTTACAGACGTATTGCCTTCTAATGGGATAATTAGATTATTATGTTGTGTTCTTCTTATTTCTGTATTCCATCCAGAAGAAGTTCAAATTCATATTAGAAAAAAGACATGCATAATAAACTTAGTAATATCTCGCCACAAACGTACGTCACCAACCCATACGCCAAGTTTGGTTACTAACCTTTGACCCTTGTCAAGCTGCTACTAAGCAGCCGTATAGAGCTAATAAATAGTTGCCATTGAACAAGCTGTTTGTTGGTGGGTATCAAACATAGATTAGTCCACTCAGAACTGAACGTAAGATTCTTTATTCCAATCCTTCTAATCTCACATTGAATTGTAAGGAACTATATGATATCACTATAATGTTGCCCGTGTGCTCAAAGGATTCCTTTTTACTCTTTGACAGTGTTATGAAACACATTCAGCACAATTAATTGGGACAGATAAGAAATGGACAAGAGCATCGTATGAAAAGTAAAACAGATAAATAATATCATAACATGGATAGGCTTATGCTTATCATTAAGACTGTTAATAAAAATACGTTTTCGATACGTTACTCATGCTCCCGTTTCATTTCATGCTCCAGCGATTTTTTTTTTCGGTAAAAAGTTGCAAGTCCAAACTACTCAAATTTCGGAAGCAAAAATTCACCGACTTGAAAGGATATTTTGTGAGTTTTTTTTCTTAATCATACATGTACATATCGGTAACTGATACGATGCATTAAATAAGCTATCTTCATTCTGTAGAAAAGTAATCACTTCCATGTGTCTGGCAAATTCAATCTTGTTATCCAAACCAGACCAAAGAAAGTAGATTGGTTTGGTTTGTTTTGAATTTCGCTCAAAGCTACACGAGGGCTAGCCGTCCCTAATTTAGCAGCGAAAGACTAGAGGGAAGGCAGCTAGTCAACACCACCCACCACCAAACTCTTGGGCTACTCTTTTACCAATGAATAGTGGTATTGACTGTCACATTATAACGCCACCATGGCTGAAAGGGTGAGTATGTTTGGTGTGACGGGGATTCGAACCCACGACCCTCAGGTTGCGAGTAAAGCACCCTAATCACCTGACCATGCCGGACCAAGACAGTAAGGTTGTTCCTAACATATTCGCTGCTCCAAATAGCTTTCTTCCAGTTTATATCGTTTTTGTGTATATATATTTTTTTCTTTTTAAGCTATTGATCAGTGGTTATTCCAAACTTATGACTCTAAATACGTAAGTGAGAACTGTGATCTTTTCTAAAGTTGTGTCCATTTCCTGAATGAGGCACCATGCATTTCAACATTAAATGGTGTTTTTGAAGTAGCTCTCATTGCTTTGTCATTTAAACAGATCTTTACAGCAAACATATTGTTGGTGTGAAATTAGTATAACCCAATAACACACGTTGATTAAAGTGTAGATTGAACTGAACCTTCCTTGAACTTAGACTTCGAGATTAAACAATTTTCGGAATATTGAATTTATTTATTAGATCTTCACAACGTTTGATTCTGGTTCTCGTGACTGTTGAGTCTTCTTTAAAACAGGTTTCAGGTGATGTTTGGGAATTATTTCAAACTACCTCTAGGGGGATGAATCTTGTTAAACCAGACAAACTGACTGGTGAGTAACT